CTTAACCCCAACTGCTCCAGGGGCGCCGTACAATGGCAGACCCTGCGCTCTGACCCCAGGCTTCTCTCCCTGTCTGTGTGCCTGTGTCTCCATGGAGAAAAAAAAAAAGCTGGGGTATGTGAAAAGATGAATTCCTAATGCAAGAAATTGTATAGGGCTAATAAAGAAACATTATCAACATTATTAAGTACCAGCTTAGACACTACTTGAAGAGAAACCCACATACCTGCTCTCCGGACAGTGTCTGCTGTGCTGCATGAGAAGTCCCATTGAAGACCAGCACACTGCCTGAGAAACTGTGACGAGGGGCTCCCGACACATACAGACTGCCACTGACTCCCTTCACAGCTGCTACACTGTAGCCTGAAGTGGAAGAAAAGCTCTGCTTTAGGACCAGAGTTTCGAATTTTGACACAGAATTAATACTGTAGCGAAGCCATAGTCTACACACTGAGATAAAACGGATGGTTGGGTGATTAGACTGCAACACAAATTGGGCTGCAGTTTTAATAATAATAGAGCAAATATACAGTAATTGATGCTATCTGATTCTTATGCAGGTACACTATTAGATCATAAAGTAAATTGAATAATGTGTCACCTAAGTAGGATAATTTTTCTTTTGTCGATGATTCGTTTAGAAACCTTATTGTGTCATCTGGGTTTTTTATAATTAAGCCACCATTCCAGTCGTATGCCCCCACTGCGCCGAAAAGAACAGTGCCCTGAAAGAGAATGGCAAAATGAAAACATTAATTTGGGAATATTTTCTCAAATTATTTGTTTGGGAATATTTTGAACAACGACAGCCGAATGACTATTCTTGACTAAACATATTATGTATTAATTTACTGCTACAAAATTACTAAAACTGTGGATAAGGGTGTCTGCTAAGCAAATAAATAATGATAATAATAGCACACTCAGTCTGCATTCCTGCCCTGCTGATTAAGTGCAAATAAAGTCTGAAAAAAGAAAACGGCACAAGGGTTGGGAAACTGCATATTTACTGAACTTTCTTTCCATATTTATTGACCTTCTGTCAACCCGTTAGTCAATGAAAAAAGCCTTGAAAACATCCTTAATATTTCCAACTGCTCATTACTATGATTTTCATTTGCATTTCCTACAGGATTGTAACCACACGTACAGGGTCCCCAGTCCTGGTCTGGAGGGCTAGTGTGGCCACCAGTTTAGCAGTCCAGCTGGTCCCTTAACGATCCGAATCGGCTCATTATTGGATTAATTACCAACTTCTGCCACCTTTCTGGGTGCTGATACCACCTGTGACACACTGACTCCCCCACGACCAGAGCTGGGACTCCTGCCCTTTGGAGTATAACAGTTATTCCCCGACAAACGTGGCCAAAAACTAGCAACTTAAAAAGAATGCAAACGCTCAACTCACATCGATCGCAAAATCAATGCTGAACCCAGCTTCGGAAAGCTCGAAGAGGAAGGCTGCTCCCTGCTGTGTCCCTGTGAGGGCAGAGAATACACAGTCAAGGAGACCAGCAGAATCACCAGCCTCTAGTTTTCCGATGGTCAGTAGCTTCAAATATTCAACAGGTGATGAGGCAGACTTTAGACCAACAGCGTTTATCACTAATTTACCACTTATTCAGTTTTGGCACTGCCAAACATTTTCAGGATGCCCCATAACTTAACGCCCTTGCGTGGGGATTACAGGATTCTTTGTGACAAGTCACCAGCAATAAAAGGGTGGCAGAGGGATGCCAAAGATTGAATTATGGGAAGGAGCGACCTGGATGTTGGCAAGGGAAGGGGAGTTACACCAATGGTGTAATGTTCTCCATGGTGTTGTCATGGCTACCCTACGGTTTGTATATCCCCCGATAACTAAAAAAATATTTCACCCGTGCCTTCTTAGAAGTTTTAGAAGTTGCTTTACCTTCTATTCCAGTGATGCTTTTTTCAAGCAAGGAGAGTATGCCATCCAAAGCTGCATAGTTATCAACCTTAAATAAATGCTCATCATCTGGGTCTGAAGCAATGTCTTGTAGTTCAGTTACTGCCTTTGTCTGATTAAAATCAGCACCAACCTGAAATTCAGCACAGTTTGACATATTAACAGCTTTAATGTGTTCTGTGTTTTTTTTTATTCTGATAATGAGAAAAACATCAAATCTCTGTTAGGTAATATTTTAGTGGTTATGTTGAGAGCACTGGTGTGGAAAACCTACCCCAATAGCAAATCGGGTTACAGCTTTCATTTTTGGCATCATCAAAACATCTGAGAGATTCATTGTGTCTAGAAATATCTTTCCATCTGTCAGAACAATCATGATCTTCTTAGCATTCTCTTTAGATCCATTTTCAGCAACAAAGACATGTTCACTGTCAAACAATCACAGTACAGACATAAGCACGGTTACAAATACAACCTCCTGTTCTTGGTTTTAAATGCATTTCCACATAGTTTCCACATAGTCTGCGCGCTCTGGTTTGTGGTTGTGTTCCACAGGGTGGGCTTTAATGTCCTTGTGGGATTTTGAATACTTGTATCGCACGTAATCCTAATTCACCTTCGCGTTCAGCAGGGGCGGCCCTTGGTTTAGATGAACTAGGCGACTGCCCAGGACCCCAAGGCCACAGGGTGCCCCCTCAGTGTGCCACATGACATTGTTTTAATCAGCACTTTTACATGTGAGTCAACATTCCCCACCAGTGGCTCTGTCTGTTGCTCCTGCTCTTGACTAGGCTGTTAAACCTTGTTAGTTTTAAGTCATGATATTATTGGCTGTGAATGTAAGTGTAGTGGCTTATGAACCGTTGATGTGGAAAATGGCACATCTTCACCATAAGACGATGATATTCGTGTGGTTTCAGCCGCTGCTACACCGAATGCTATTGGTTTTAATTTGGGCAAGTAGGAGATGCTGTGCTGATCAATTGTATAAGTCTTTCATTAGATCTAACGTGCAGAAAATCCGGATAAGCGATCTCAAAACGGAGGCAGTCCAATTTAAGACACTGTAATAATACATGTGCTGTATATTTCATTTGGTTTTTAGCCTGTCAGATCCATGTAACTAGCAAACATTAGACATGCTACATTTTCTTACTACTGGGAGTGTTTTATGAGATGTTGACAGATTCACGGTTCATGTTATTACTTTCAGTGTTAAACTACATGTTATCTCTGTGAAATGTGCACCCATATTAAATATTTGACGTGCTTTATGGATTCAGGATCCAGACCCTTAATGAAGAGTTGTTTTATTGGCTTCATAATCTGTGTGTTTCATCCAGATAGGTGCTGTGAGAAAACAACAGAAATATCTGAGCAGCAGTAGTTAGCTCAGTCTGTTCATCTCACTACTCTGTTAGGACAACGGCAACATTTCCAGTAAAAGCAAGAACATTAAACTGTTATACACTTGAGAATTGTTATAGATTTGTTTCTTGTAAATTTGAAATTGATTCTTTCTATTATTTATAGAGTAAGAATTTGTTTTACCATTTTCTCACCATAATGTATATTGAAAAAGCACAAATAAAACAGACATTTTAATATTTTATTTTCTGAATAATTTAGTATTATTGATGTCCTATTCATGCTAGTTCACATCAGCTTTTCTGCTACGAAATCAAGGCTCATAATGCATTTGTACTGTATATACAGTATAATGTGCGTATCAGGCTGAAATTGATGATTGCATATATAGTCATTAGAATTGATAATATACCACAAACACTGGATAAGAGGTACTTTTTTTCAATTTCCAGGGTGTAAAAACATCATAATACTGAGAAAATATTTTAAATCTTGTCTTCCCCTAGGAACAATTGAATGCTTGGTCATCCTACCCACAGGCCATTCTGTAAACCATCAGGGACTTAGTCTGTACTTACAGGACGTGATACATAGCAGAAGCAGTTTTTGTGTAGTTGTAGATCTGCTGAATATCACTAACTTTTCTTAATGCGTATTCAGGTTTCTCATTTTCTTTGAGTGAGAGTTCAGTTCGTATATCCTTTCCATATTGAACAAGTGCAAATCTACACTGGAACAAGAAAATAATATTTTAGACAACAGTTGTAACTTTATTCTCTTCAAGTATTTAAACAATTTTAAACATTAAAATCAGTAATTATATTCAAATAAAGAGGAGGCTACTTGGCTTATCTAGCCTGTAAAATAGTTAATAGTCAATTGATCAAGTCATTTCTGGAAAGCAAGAAGGGTTTCAACTTCAACAGCATGATTCAGTTACTTGTTCCATTCTGCCACAACGCTTTGCTTAAACAAATGCCTCTTGTTTTTAATGCACTTCCATGTAGTACATATTATATAAATAATTATATATAAAGGTTACTGTCTGTGTTTTTGAAGGTTTTCTTTAATGGATTCATAACTCACTCAACTTATTGGCACCAAATTTGGAACACTGATGCCACACTGTGATGCTGAGATTTTAGAAAAATAATTCCTGAGCCTTGCATTTGTACTGTAGTGTCTTGTGCAAAATGCCCACATTTACAGCTATAACTTTGTTATAACTCACACAATCCACACCACATTTTGCACAAAGGTGTGGTTCACTTTAATTTACCATCCTGGGCAACACTGGGAACCACAGCTAGTGCCCTTTTGCTGTATAAAACCTGTATTGACCAGGAAACATTGCAGATAAGTTTGGTATTTTTTAAAAGAGCCCAGTACTTACATCAAAGCAGGTTTCCCAAACGTTTTTCATCACATTAGTTACGAATTCTTTTGCCCTTTCAAAATCTTCTCCAGAAATGCTTCCAGAACCATCCAAGACAAAGGCAATCTCTGTCCCAGCATCTTAAAATCAAATTCTGTAGTTAGTCACATGAGGTGTAAGTGGTCTTAATGTGGCTGATTTTCTGTGAGGGCACTATCTACAGTGCACAATGACTCAACACAGCAGTCTTGCTCAAATACCTCTACTCTTATGTAGCACTGTGGCCATAAATTAATAAAGTGATGCCCTCTGAATTTTGTACCATTTTGTAGATACTGTACTGTACTGCATCTGATATAGATTCTCTGAAGCTATTTATGGTGCCACTTTTGGGGGCTGGAAAAGACACTTTATCATATAAATGCATTTCAAATCTATTGATGAGTAGTAACTTGTATATGAGAATAGTCTGTCTGATGTTAATAAACATGTATGAGTAATATGTTGTAAAGGTAAGTTCCTACTAGGTTTATTAACATTCCTTAACATCTTGTCAGCAAATTTCACATTATAAAGAATTTAGAATTCCAGATATGGAATTGAACCCAGAGCCACAGCTCTATGAGGCAGCAATACTAGCCACTGTGCTGCTAACATACAGGAGTCATTGGGAAATATTTAGTAACTAAAACAGGTATATTGTTCAGGATGTCCCCCGATACCGGGACTAAGATATTCTGACCCTGTATGTTTGGGATGAATTACTTTATTCACCTCTCACCTGCCCATTATGTTTAGAATGAATTACTCCATAAGGTCCATACCTTCATCCTCCTCTTCCTCTTGGTTACTGCTCTCCCTCTTTCTCCGATGAAGGGCGGATCCTGAAATCATATTTGTACTCTAAATCATGAAGGGTTCTAACAGTGGACTTCTTCAGTGCAGCAGGGGGCAGGAGTGGAAATTAAGAGGAGGACTGACTAACAGGAGGCACTTCTCTACCCACAGAGTGGTGGGAGTGTGGAACAAACTACGTGTTCTTGCACCTGATAACTCAGAATCCTTTACATAATCCCAATCCATTAAGTCTAGCAGCTAATCAACCTAGTATCAGGTATATGTGACAACCATATGGCCTCCTCTTTTTTCTAACCTTTCTCATGTTTCAGCAAAACACATCACAATGGTGTAAACCTGCTTCATTTCTGTGAATCATCCTGCTTTCCACTTTCAGTTAAATCTTACTCTTGATCTTTCACCCAAACCTCCCTGGTTTAACACATTGTTCCCATGAACTAGAAATTTACACCTGAACATAAATATGTATCAGAAGCCATAACTAACATGCAGTATATGACATGAGGGATTACCGGAGTTCACTGAAAGGGATTCATCCTCTTGTTTGTTGGCATTGGTGTTGTTTCTTTTCATCTGCTTCACTACTAAAATCAAGACAAATCCATACAGATTTTTCTCGATCTTTGAGAAAACCTAAACAAGATGACCTGAAGAACCCCACCCAGACATTTCATTGAGTGTTCATCTTGATGACAACAGTCTATTCCTCATGCATGTGTACAGCTCAGATTAGGTACAGTGCAAATACGAATCCTGTTCTTGTAGATTTAGCATTATAATATAGAGGCTAAGTTGGTACTGTATTAAATTAATAAAGCTGGTATGCACAATTATTAGCATTATTATTAGCATGAAGCATTATTAGTATTATTAGTGTCTGTAAGTAATGCAAAATATGAAAAGACAATAAAACTGTCAAAATTATTAAGCGCAAGTTGTGACATAAACTTTTATCTTCATTCTTCAGACTTTTTCAGATTTTTTGGTGCTATTTGCAGACACTTTTCCTTTATAGGCTTTTAATACATGCGCACAGTAGAAACACTTAAGCTCTGTTTCCTGTAAGCAGTGATATTCTTATTCTGTTACAGTTTCTTCGGTCACATGTAGCACCAAGCAGTACCGAGTGATGCAGGAGCAATGTCAGAAATCTCCTGGAAGCCTGCCTTGAGGAGGGAGCAAACTCCATTCAGATCTTCGTTTGTGGCCTTGCGTGTCCGGTGTTGTTGACAGACCTGAGAGGCGAAAACGAAATTCCTAGAAAATCTGATTGTCAGCTTATTGCAAATCTCCAAAATCCATAAATTTGATGGTATGACTAAGAAACAAATCTTGTACAAATCCCATACGGCAACCAGCCTGAATCAGTACTAAAATGAAGGGAAAGGCATGAGCTACACGATTTTGAAATACACAATTACAAGCAGGGCAGGAGTAAGAGAAGAGAGCATTGACTTCAGGCTGTGAAGTACAGCTTGCTCAGAAGAAAGGAAGCTGTGGTGTGGCAGATGGGTTTAAGAAAGTAGTGGTAGACTGTGTCTGTGTAGCACAGCTGTATTCGCTGTCTGGTCTCATGCAAAGCATGCAGAAATACTGCTGCACTGCTACTCTGCAAGCCTCCTAAATTTTTTGTGTTGGCATTTCTCACTTACGTCCTTGAACCATCTTTGAAATTGGAGCCGTTTTGGGAAATATTGCTTCTTCGCATGTGGAATCATCTGTCCCTTGGTTCGACAGTCTATGAATCCTCACCACCACACAAAAAATGCTGGTTTGTTTTCTTAGTTGACCGTGAGATAATGATATGCCATTGCATTCTCTCGTGACATTTCTGTGAGAACACTAAGATCTCCAAATACAATCAGAGCATTGCATTTTAATCTTAAATACTCTTCTTAATTACAGAAAACAAAAACTCTCTCGTAGCATTGGCAAGAGACAGAAAAGAAACCTTACCAGGTATGTTGATCCATCTGAGCTTTTAGCTGCTGATATGATAGGTTTCCGATAGCTTTTCTCTTTCGCTACAAGGTCAAAGATAAATACCCAGATCACCCCCATTTCTTGCACAAGGGAACACAATATTGTCTGCATATCAAAAATCAGGGAACTGGACTTGTACCTGTGAGGCTGACTTCAGTACACTGTGCCGAGACCTTGCAGTCATAAAGTCTACCATACTGCTGGTCGCTCATATTGTCCAAGGGAGAAGTAACTAAGATCCTGTGATAAAAGAAACAGGTCCTTAAAGATTGGGAGAAGATCACCGTTGCGTTTTATTTACAAATATTAAAGATTGCTAGTTAGCTACACTCCTATAAGGCTATTATAATATCAAGTTAATATATCAACAAGCATAAAGACAAACATTGTTATTAAGATTACCATATGTACCACAATATACTATTTTAAATTGAAGAATATAAGCAACAAGAAAGTGCTAGAAACTTCATGAAGCAGAGGATAATGTAACTCTTTACACTACTCACCCATCCTCATACTGAAGGACAGATTGCCCTAGGGAAGGGCTGTTCAATTCTTCAAAAGTTTTAATCGGCTTGGAGTAAATATTAAAACCCTCCACTGCATATACAGCTGCAAATTCAACAATAATATGAGGTTAGGTACGTTAGATTTATCTTTATAGGGACAGAACTGCACAGCCCTCCAGGACCAGAGTAATATGAGAGAGGAAGAGGGAAAAAAATAAATGAATTAAGGAAGGAGATTTTCACTATCAGTCCAAAGGGGTGACCAGATCATCCAAACGTGCTCAGTACTCGAGTGGAGACCATGTGTCAGTTCTTCCAGAGGTAGAAATGCAGATGCGCGAGAGTCGCATTTCAACATGGTGCATGTACCACGGAGACAGAACACAGCAGCAAAATACATGTCTCAGCAACATGAACAATTTCAGATTTTATCCAGTGCATGGTCGTGTCGGACTGGGAGTGCAAGCTGGCAAGAAACAGGCACAAGGCAGGGTACACCCTGGACAGGACGCCCGTCCATTGCAGGGCGTGTTCGCACACACACACACACCAGGGCCATTTTCCCCCAAATTCAATTAACCTACAAACTATATCTTTGGACTGTGGGAGGAAACATGCGAGCACTCCACGCAGACAGCACCCCAGAAACTGAACCCAGGGTGCCGGCTGTAGCGCTGGGCCACTCCCCTGACCGCTAATGTATCATTATTTCTCAGCTTCTTGAAAACAAAAAAGCCTTCACCGTCGCCAGTTTCCAAATTCGTTTGCGTTATATCCTAAAAGTTTGCTCCCTTTGTTGTATGAAAATAATGTATCTATTTTGTTGAACTATTGAAACACGTTGCAGTGCTTATCACGATTTAGGACTTTATGTATTAATACATCTCGAAACTGGTGCACATTTTGAGCTGCCAGTAATATATATATATATTCTGGCAAGAGGTGATGACGTTGTTGGGTGGTGAGTGCTAGATTTTAGCTTCGTTGGAGAAAGAATATGAAAAATAGGACAAGGGTGTTCTCAAATGAATGCAATTATGTTGAGAATGTTTTATTACAGAAGAGCTACCACACCCGTACCGCAGCCGAACTTGAGATTTTAAACATCATACTCTTCAGCACGAAATGTAATACATATAAAAAAGACATTTAGAGGGAGAAAAAGAAGTCAGACACTGATGAAAAGGGAGGGGTCTTATTTTATATTTCACGTTCTGCACTTCTCAATGAGCTTGAGGTTCCGTATAATATAGTAAGAACTCTCAGTGCAGAAAGTGTAAAAGAGTATTTTCATCACGTCCGAGACATTTTCGCACCTTTTAATTAAACCCCCCAAACATTTATTTTATATAAAGTTTAACACGCGTAACACAAGAGCAAGTAATGACTTCTGCAGCTACGGAATTGATTACAAGGAAAGTTGTACTCACTGATTAGCCACAATAGACAATTATGTGCCATTTCGGTGTGGTTTCCGTAATAAATCTTTTAAACGTTGGTAATACCAGCGACATATGTCTCGCATATCAGGCAGATATGTTCCGAAGAGGATGTGGGATGTCTGTCGCATAGTCACATGCAAGTCTGCGTAATACTACTTCACAACTTTTCTTCCTAAAAATACATTAAATTACTTATTACGTCGCTTTCAGGTTTTATAAACCCGTTTAAGGTGTAAGTTATCCAATCAAGTTTTATTTTTTCCGTCTAATGTGCGTTTGCACTTAAATTACTAAATTGCGCATTTTTTTCCTGATAGTTCCTACACACCGCCTCTACTGTATTGTACTGGTTTTTGCACAGGTATATCAATACGTATAACAAGAAGAGGGAGAAACGTTAAGAAATTAAAGGTCAGAGGGAATTGTCAAATCAGCAACGCAAAAATCTATTTTAACAAAATTGTTAACAAAGCATGATTAGTTTGTCCCGGTCCGAGCAGCGGATTAAAACGAGTATTTCTTATTAAACAGGACTCAGCGTCTTTGAAGCCAATTTTAAAATGCAAAATACTTCACTCCCACCTTGATATTTTATTTGCTTTTTCAAATCGCCATTTTCTTCAACTAAGAAGAAAAAGCGGCCATTTTTTAAAAATTAGAATGGCAGATTGAATAAAGTTTTTAAGGGCATGTTTGTATTACACGATTTTACAAAATGATGCCTTTTTTTGCCTTATAAAAGTTTTTATAATTCCTCAGATGTAAATCCGACTAAACCTACTAGTAGTGGTTTAGTAGAAGAACAATGCGTTTTTACGATTAGGCAACGTTATTATCATCAAAGCGAATGACCGGGGTGGCCTCCTCTGGTCAGCTTTGAGCGTCTGTTTTAAACCTCCTTGTTTTAGCAACCCGCTTACTTAGCAACGGTATTGGGCTCAGCAGAGCTTTTAAGTAATGGAGAACAGCTTTGCAGCCCCGCAGTGGCTACTAAAAGCAAGGACAATCATTGAAAATTCGCAGGTAATCTTAATAATAATAATAATAATAATAATAATAATAATAATAAATAAATAAGCTTTGCGATAAGGTGTGTTGAAAGATGAAAAAGCGATGTGTTTTCCAAAACGGTTCATCTATACCCGTACAGATTCTAAGATGGTTTATACGCTTTCCTTTCTGTGACCTAAATAAATAAAAAAAAAACTGATTCAATTACGCCCTGCGCCCTGTGTGACTTCTGCAAGCACAGAGGGCCGAGTACCACAGCAGGCACGCACTCATATGTGGTTACTTTTAGAAGAGAATAGAAAGATTTCTATTAAAAGCGAGTACTTTAGCAAGAGACCGGTCAGGTAAGATTAGTAAAGACATACCGCTCTACGTTTTAAAGTCACCAGCGGGTCTCAGAAAACAGTTTGTATGGTATCTACGAAAACGTTACATAAAAGATCTAAATACACAGGCAAGGTTGTGCCGGACACATGAGGCTGAATTCCTTTCCCAGGCTTGTTCTTCAGTTTATATTCGGTTATCTGCTGATGATTTAGCCCTGAGAATGAGAAAGGAAGAGTAAAAAAAAACAAGGGAAAGCTGTGAGGTGACAGAACAGTAACATGCCTGTGTAAGCAGGCATCTCACCCAGGGCGTGCCCTGCCTTGAGCCCGTTGCTTGCTGGGATAGGCTCCAGCTCCCCCACTACCCTCAACTGGAAGAGCTGGTTAGAAAATGGATGGAGGGATGCTTGATAACCCAACAGTGAAGGCTACTCTGTTACCGTAGACTTCGCTGTCTCGGAATGAGGAGATACTTTCCTCATAATTACGAGATAAGGGGGTGATTGTTTTTCCCTTGGTGGCAGCGTTGCGCTTCTGCAAGTATTCAATATGTTCATGTACTACGTCAAAAAGCTGTTTCTCAAAGGCAGCCTACAGTCTGCTCGAGTTTCTAGACGGGTCCGTGGGAGACAGAATTGTCTCCCACGTCTTCGTCTTTCTCTCTGCTGTCGGTTCCCATCACCCGTTTCCTCTCCTCACGCACCCCGCTGGTGCTGGTTCCGCTAACGGCCACTTTGAAGTGCTCAGCTTCTGCCTGTGGTTACACCCGTGTGTGCGCTGCTGGCAGACATAGATCTGAAGATTGTTCTACATTCTGGGAAACCTGCATTTGCAAATATTCTCTGTAGGGTTACATGCCAGCAGGCAGCAGAGCTTAAGGAATGGCAGTGACTCCTCTGATATTAATTGACTCTCTGGATGGAACGTTGCCGAGTCTGATTTTGTCACCTTGAGAAGAAGTACTTCTTCTGTGGAGGTTTATTTTAGAGAACAGGGAAGGAGAAGTGAGACTGAATACAGTTATTTACAGTATCATAAACCAGAGGTGGATCGAGGGGAGGCTGTGGTCTGTGGCTGATTCATCTGCGTAGGGAGCTCCTCTTTACCCAGAGCTCTCCAGTGCAGCTCTGTGAGACTGGGGCCCTGTGTGACTGTGAGACCCCTGTTTCCTTGGCTGCCCCACGCATGCGATCATTTCACTTCTCTCTTCAGAAGGTTTTCCTGGGGAACAAGTGTATGCTGGTGCAGTGCTTGGCGCAGCTGCCTCACAGGCTCCAGGCAGTGTTTGAGCCCCACTTGTGTCACCTGTCTGTGCAGAGTTTGCATGTTCTTCCCGCATTCACAGGGTGCCCCAACTTTCTTCCCATCTCCCAGTGACATTAAAGTTCGGTTTGACTGGTAACTCTGAACCGTCGCTTTCCTGGGGTGAGGGTTTCAAAAGGAATTTCACCCTTGGAGGTGCTACGTTCAGACAGTGTGTCTATAGCAGTGGTTCCCAGTCTTGGTTCTTGGGGAGCACTGGTGTCTCCTGGGTTTCCAGTCCAAATTATTGCCTTGATTGGGTCGGTTTCGTGGCACCACCTGCAGACACAGTATCCCTCTAGAGCCAGGATTGGAGTGCTTTCCTGTCCACGACCTGGGGTGTTATCTGTGTGGAGTCTGCAAGTTCTCTCCATGTTTGCGTGGGTTTGCTCTGGGTGGCTCCGTTTCTTCCCACACTCCCATCCAGGGGGTATCTCACTTTCTTGCCCATTTCTTGCTGAGTTAGACTCCGGCTCCCCCGCAGTCCTGTATTGGATAAAGCAGATTAATAACTCTGTAGTCAGAAATTAGGGTTAGCAAGTTGGGGAGAATTCCATATCGGAAGCTGCAGCAAATAAGTGAACTAAAAAAGTAAGTCACAGTAAGGAAGTAGATCAACTAGGCGTCAACTAGCACTGGTGATTTATAGCTCAGCTGGACTGAAATACAGCAGACACCGTGATGGTCTCAGGCAGTTCCAGGACCAGGGATGCCTGTGGTGTTATAAACAGAATCAAATAAGCCCAACGGGCAGAAAGGTCATTTCTTATCTGTGACATCTGTGTCTTTCTGATGTTCTGCTCTGAACAGTTAACCCAAGTCATGCTGCAGACATCTTTGCACAATTCTAAATGTTTTTAAGTAGGTGTTCAGAATTGCTTTAACCTTACTGGCTGTCCACCTTGACTTTTTTAAAACCCTGTGTATAGAGTCTTTTTCGCTTCTCTGTTGCTGTTTCAGGAGTGGAAGGCTTTCACTGCAGACCTGTTCGAGGCTGTGCAGCAGCAGCAGACAGAGAATCATGTCAGCTTCTTCGCTGACCTCTCTGAGGCAGAAAAAGCCCTGTTTCTTGAGAGAGCAGCTAAGGCAATCTGTAGAGGTGAGACTCCACAAGGCTCAAAACCTTATGCTAAGCAGGAAAGTAAAAAGCATTTCTGTACCCCAGCTGACAGTGGAACTAAGGGTGCTTGATGTGTGGTGAAGTCTGAAAGTGTAAAGCCCAGGATTGTGTCTACACAGGAAACTGAGTGCTTGTCTGCATCTTCCGTTTAAATACGATTTGCATAAAGGTCATGTGGATAGTCCCAGAGTAGACATACATACTTACCTACAAGTTTTTCTTTTATGCAAAGCAAAGAGCGTGTACCCCTTATTTTGTCCAGGGAATGCCCACAAAGATGTAATCGCTCACATCGGCTCCAGCCTTGAGAATATACTGAGCGGAGTTGTTGCTGCACAGATGAGTGACAGTGGGGCTGTGTCTACAAAATCAGATCTCTTCCAGAGCCACGTCAGGGATGGGATGGTAAGCTTCTCAGTTTGGGAAGAGGAACACTGTGAGTGAATCCCACACAGGTGTGAGAAAGCCGCCATGATCCCTTTAAAATCTTCAGATCACTGTTGTTCAAAACTATAGGCTTGCGAACCACAGTACATTAAAATTTGTTTTTTTTTTAAAACATTGTACTATTTATTTTAATATAAATATTTTTAATCTATAAATCTGTTACAGTTACATCTTTTCTGTTTTGCAGGTAGGCTAATCTTGAAATATGTCCCTTTGGACAAATTTCAAAGATATTATATCACAAGTCTGTGGAAATCCTTCTGCTCAATGTGGAGTTTTGGTGCTAGAAGCATTGGGTCCAGGGGTTGATGCTGTGTGAATAAAGGTTTTTGTCATTTTGAATGCCACACAGACCAGCATCACACTCTTCAATCAGTGCATGACTTTATCTGCAAGAATGAAATCTCAAAATGAAATCCATTGCTAGTATTCGTGGGCTCATTTTATAGTTGAATACACAGGCTTTTACATTTTTTATACACAGGTTAATCTCTTACACAAATGGCCAGATATGAAAAGCAAACTGCACATTCTCTTCAATCATTCTTTACCATCGGAGATCCGAAAGGTGGCCTGGAGACTCTATCTCTCCAACACAAAGGGTGAGAAGATACATATTTGTGTTATATAATTTTTAATATATGACACCAAATGTTTTTAGGTCTTCAGTCAAATGTGACGCCTAGTTTTGTGTTGTCCTTGACTTTCCAGCCCGGATGGATTACTTGACCCTCATGTCCATGAACAAAGTGAGGTCTAAAGCTGATCTGGACATCTCTCAGCAATGCGAGGCTCTGCTTTCCAGAGAGCCGACGTTCAGGTCTGTCAAAGAAAACACCAGTGAGTATATTTAACTGAACGTAAGAAAGCTTACAACTGTCCTTGATTTTAAATGCACTTACATGTACTGTATGTCCCACTTGTGTCCTCTGCTTTTCACTGTTCTCTTATCAGCCTTGTCAAGGGCAATGTTAGATGATACCTTCCGTATGAATCCTAAGAAGTACTAAAGACACACTGGTGTACTGTTAATTCTGTTTTTTGTAGTTGGGAGTAAAGCAATGAGAAATGTCCTATCGTATTACCACCGAATGCAGCATTTTAAGACCAGGCTTCCAGACTCGGAGTGTGTCCTGCTGATCCCACTGGTGGAGGCCAGCGTTGCAGACGCTACCCCCAGTACCTCTGTGGACACTGTGACCACTCTGCTGGTGGAGGAGTACATCACTTTCATGGAGTGCAGGCCGGCCTTCATGAGATCTCAGAGTCCTGGGGTAGGTCGCTCACAGCACAGGGGCTGCTGAGCTTCCGGTGGAAACTCACATGCTCCCTCACAACAAAGGCCACAACATGCTGCACTGCGACACCGCAGTTGTTCAAAAGGCGGCAGTTTATCTGCGACTCTGATCAGTTAATCATGTGCTCGGCAAAAACGCAAACAGAATTCCTGAGGAAACATATGTTTTGCAAAACACATGATGTCTAGCCAAGAGGATGGCTGATTTTAATCTGTAGACACCGGGGAAATAAACCAAGCTGCTCTGTAGGTGTTTTGGTTTTCATCAGTATTGAATGCACAAACACTTGACAGAAAGAAATATCTGTAATTTCTTATTTGTGATTTGATCTATACTTTATAAAAGGCTGTTGTCACGACAAGCTGATAAACAGGCCACTGGTCTTTGGCTAAAACAGTACTTTGTAAGCAATGGGGCAAAATAACCTCTGAGGATCTATTTTTGAACAGTGCTTAGAAAAGAGTCCTGTGACTTGAGAAATGCAAACCTATTCTAGTGACCGGTGTGGAACTCTAAATGGGACGTCAGTGTGCGGGCTGATGGTGAGACGTGCAGAAAGAGGTTGTGGATTCGCTGGCCAGCGTGTGACACGTCTGTCGCCCTGCAGGCCCGGGACGATGCTGGAAGTGAGGAAGTCTTTGCAGAAGTCGCTCAGATGCTCGACCAAAAAGAACAAGAGCTTTCAAACGCGGTGCGGGAAATACACGCCAGACAAGGTTGGAATATCTAGGGCCTTTGCATAGTAGCACAAAAAAATGTGCCGGTTTGACCGTGGGCATGCAGTTCACTTGTTCACATATAAGCTATTATTATTTTTTTATATATTTGCTGAAGAGGCATCCTTATCTGGAGTGCCTTAAAATATAGGGAAATTGCATGAAGTGAAAGGGCAGGGAATAATTGCGTAGATACAAGTGAAATGAACTTAATAAAATCTACTGAGGTTTGCACAAATTGGCTGAGCAACCTGAGTGAGGCACAGACAAGTGAGACAGTGAGAACTTCAACACTATACAGGCAGACAAATACAGTTAGTGAGACAACCAAGTTTGAGAATTAGAAACAGTGCAATACCGCAGAAGAGGTATTGAAGGATGTAGATTTGCACTGAGAGGTCAGAGGCAGCATGTAAGCGTCTGAGCCTTAGTCTGAGATCAGTTTATTTTCTTCCCAGGTGACAGTCCCCACCAGTCCTTACTGAGAGGAGTGAAGGCAATTTTGCAGCCCATTCTTACAGTCTTTTTTGTGGGTAAGGCTTTGAAATGTAATGCTACCCCTCCAGGGGCAGTTCCACCGCGTAAGATTTGGGAGGTGTTGCAGTGAGCCCAGGTTCGTATCACTCCATAGATACCCCTGTAGGTGTGCACTGATGCAGAGTGCACATAGAAATGCCTTGGAATATACTTAGAGCCCTTCAGAGCGTTTGATAAGAGGTATATGAGTATTCAAACTGATTGATAAATTGTTCAATATTGTTGAACCATGGGTTTTCTTGACTTCGGGCAATTACAATATCGCTCCTGAAATACCACTATTGACTCTTTAATGATGCTCTGATCTTGTTTGATTTTGCACGCTGCATTTTCCAACTCGGGTTTAAATCCTGTCCCCCACCTCCAGGTGAAAGTAGACAGCAGAAAACTTTCTGTATCTTTGCAGAGACTGTTTATGTGCTCTACTGAGCAGTGAGAAGGCAGATTGTGAAATCACAAATAATGTTTGATTTTCTGTTGATGTAAATTACATTATTTCTGTACAGTCATCTGTGTGTAAGGTGTAGTACTGTAGAAGGAAGGAACAATGCTCTTTGCCTAAAATGTTTGCACTCTATGGCAAATTGTTGCAAAGTGTGGTGCAGCATATAAAAGACTGACTGATAAGGAATGTTACTGAAATTTATAAATGAAAGTATATAAACCACTGATTCATCATCATTTTTTTTTCTCTGTAAATTTGCTTGTCAGGCTACTTGAACATGACTACACTACTTTATATCTGGGACCAATACATCATAGGAATTGATAAACCTTCATACAGCTGTGTTCCAGCATTTTCCTTTGCTTTCATCCAGCTTCTGAAAGATCACTTGCAAGCCTGTCGCACGGTGAGTTAATATTTGTCACCCTGAGCACATACACACAACATCCATTATTAAGGACTGAGCTGGTTCCCCTGAGCAGTATATGACGTTTACAGCAGAAAGGCTTGAACCTTATCTTGTACATTTCTCCTTGCCAACGTATGTAAGGTCTTCTTTTCATGAATCTCTCTTGACCCCACCCCCATGCTGCCTCCCCATCTACACCCTTGCAGCAGCTCCCTACCTCATTCCTCACAATATTGAGAGGGGTTAGGGCTGCCGTTCCCTCAACTAGGCAAGACACAAATACTCCTTACACATCTCATCCATCGGTCACCTTCATTAGGATCTAAACTAACTACTGAAAGGCGTTTTTTTGTTAAGCATTGTGAGTATTATATACTTGGATTCCCCAATGAGACTTCAACTGGATATTGCTTAAAACAAAGATTTTCTAGGCTTTCTTTATCTAGAACAATCGCCCTGTCCTTTCAACCAGAAATATAAATGGGAACTCCGGTTTTGGCTGAATGCTAACCCAAAAAATATTTCTGTGACCCAAAGGACAGATTTAATGCCAGGAGGAAGGGATTTTGGGAATATTTTTAACAGGCTGTTTTTTATTCATGTCAATAACAGTTCCGTTGTCTTTGTCCCTGCTGTAATTTAGACCTGAGGGAATGGGGGATTTTGTGTGTCTCGATGATTAATGGAAACCGTCTCGTGATCAGGAAGGGGAGCTGGCTGAGGTGCCAAAGTCCCGCGGCCCAGCTCTGGTCGTCCAGCAGTTCCGGGGGGTCATCAGCAAACACTTTCACGGAGATCTGTACAGCGCACTGACGAGGGATGAGGCTGAAACCTTCCCCATTCTGGATCCAGTTCAAGGTCGTTATTCTCTGTTAATTCTCCACCTTGTGCGCCTCTTGGCATGGCTTGGTTTACACAACAGAAGGGATCTGTTGGTAGGAGCTGAAACCTCTTTCATTTTCTCTTTTCCTCAGCCTTTTTCCCCCCATGGACTCATTTGTCAAGCAAAGAGTTGCCTCTCCGAACCCGGCCTAAAGACAGGCGACTGGCAAGGTAAAATAGATTGTAGCGTCCTGCGGCTGTCCAACTGCCAGCAAAGCAGGTGTGGGAATGTCTCTTTTGACATTGACTTGTGACTGCAGTTTAATTGTTAGTGCACTATTTTGTACATACATTTATGCAAGAACACATTAGACATCTCCTATGAAATTGGGAAGCGTGCTGTCCTGCCCCCTGCTGGTGACTTCACTGCATTGATGTGTATTTAACGCTCAGCACTACTGAGGAGCTGCTTTTTTGTGTCCATGTCATAAAGCTGTTAACCTGTATGAAGTTCGTGTGAGAACCTGCTGAGACCTGTGCTGTCGTTCCTCCTTCCAGGGAGGAGCGGGCAGCTCGTAGGGCTGACCAACAACAACGAGCAGAGCGAGAGGAACAGCTACAAAGACTCAGGGCAGAGGAAGAAATCAGGTGCTGCTCATATAACTGGAGTTCTGGTTTAGATTCTCCATAGGGCAATACAAACGGATTTGCCTCTTTCTCTGAAACAATTATCCAGACTATTTCATATAAAAGTTAAATACTTCACAAAAATAATTCATTTCTAGACTTTAGCCGTCTTACTACAGGTTATTCATATCAATTAGTGACTTATGCAACAATCAACTGCTTGTACTGGAACAGACAGTGGGGGCGCAGTGGTGCCTCACAGTGTTGGGGTGCTGTCGGCATGCAGTTTGTATGTTCTCCCCAGGTTTCTGGGTCAATGAGCCATGCTGAGAGTGCGTGTGTTCGTCTGTGTTTGTGTGTGCCCTGGGACGCAATGGATTGGCGTCCCAGTCAGGTGTTGTAGCCCATTGTTGGCTGGGACAGGCTCTGTCTCCCCTGCGACCCTGTGCTGGATAAACTGGTTAGAAAATGGGTGGATGGATGGAAAAGACTAGTGCAAAATCTGAACTGAGTGTTTCTGTGTCCCCAGCATTGTTTTTATTATTATTGTTGTTGCTAATTTCGAAGGAGCCAGGAGGAGAGGCTGCAGAGACAGCTGGAAGAGACCAAGCGTGTCGGTAGTGAACAGAAGCTTTTTTTGGAAGAGCAGCTGGCTCAGGTACAGAATCTGGCCCACTGATGCCTCCGCGAATTCAAGACATTTGTTTTTTTGCATCATTGCTAGAGAAACAAGCTTATATCTTAAGTATCACTTTAAAACTCGTAATCCTCGTCTTCACATTTTTTACATTGCGGCAAAAAAATATTTGAAATGAGTTGCCGATACTTGTAGAAACGTGCCGAGTGTGTAAGTTCTGTTTAGAAGAGACGTCTTCTAGTTTTTTTTCTGTCTGTGGTTCTTTTTCAGGAAAGACAGCATCGCTATGAAATGCAGAAAAGGGCAGAAGAGCAGATTAGCCAGCTACAGGCTGAGATAAAGAAGATCAGAGAGGAAAAACTGGTAGCTATCCCTGGGAAAACGATGTAGCCAGACCTATCCTATCCAGTGCACACTTATCACAGTAATTATTTCAGCAAAACAGAGGGGAGTGCCGAGAGGTGACATATCAGTCACGAAGAATAGAAACAGTGATTTTAAAACATTCTGAAATACATATGATCACAACTTCGCCATGAATATCGATGGAAAAACAGCTTAAATTTCTTCTTTCTTAGGTCTCCACTGATATCTACACAGTCAGAAGGTAAGTCAATTGGATTGGTCTTTTGTTGGAGAACGTAACTCCCAAGAGTAACCTACACAGGTGCTGTAGATTATTGTTCATGTGAAAGCCCTTTGTAAAGTTACCACAGCCCTTTCAGATCGTTCCCTAAACGTCTTAAAGATTCTCTTAACGATGTTGAAGGTTAGCTTTGCGTTCTAACCCTTTTTAAGTGGGTAATGGGTCACCACACACAGGCCTCCTGAGGACTCTTGTTTGTGTTGAAGTTTTGGAACCCCACCTCCATCTCCCGAGTCGAAGACCTCTCGCCTGGACCGTCCCCCAAGCCCAGCGCCACAGCACGCACCGCCCCCAGGTTGGCAGAAACATTTGCACTGAACACCCCTGCCTTACAAAAGCACACGCTTCATGTTGGCAAAATGTCTTGCGCCCCTGTTTGAAAATGAGGTCCAGTATTAGTTCGTTACGTCCTGCCAGTTACAGAAGACACATTTTTAGCGACGTCATTAGATCAAATTTAGGTGTCTTGCCAGTTTAACAAGTGTCCTTCTGCTGATCTTGGGGTCGTGCAACATTAATTTTTAAAACTCCAAACTGGTCCCTTGAAGTATTTTGATTCAGCTCTTCAAGCGCAGACAAATCCAGTCGAGTAGGACAAGTCATTCTGGACTCATTTCATCAGGGGGGTCTCGGATTCCTGGTCGTGGAGACCTCCAATCCAATTAGTCTTCCAGTTCACCAGTTTTTAAAGGTTGGCAACAGCATTAAGACACTGATGAATCCAGCAAGTAATCTCTTCAGTTAATTCAACTCTGGTCCTAGAGGGCTGTAGAGTACTTATGTTCTACACTGGCGTCCTGGCCAAATTTCCCTTTGGCTTTTACCAATCATGGCCTCCTAATAATCCCCCTCTGAACTGGCTTCATCACTCTGCTCTCCTCCCCCACTGATAGCTGATGTGTGGGGAGCGTTCTGGCGCACTATGGCTGCCGTCGCATCATCCAGGTGGAGCTGCACACTGGTGGTGGTGGAGGGGATCCCCATGACCTGTAAAGCGCTTTGAGTAGAGTGTCCAGAAAAGCGCTATATAAGTGTAAGCAATTATAATAATTAATTATAAGCTATTATTATTACTCCTAAATGATCAGCACATTATTTGAATGATTTAATTGATCATATTGGAATGTCAACATTTGTGATTTAATGGTGATCTACTGTACAGAACCTGCTGTACTGGGGCTCTCGAGGACCAGTGTTTGACTTCCTTGTATTAGATGGGTGTTCCACACTTTTGCATGAATAGAGCAACATGATTGCATTAACTCTCATGTATTTCACCCACCTCAGCTGTACCCATTGCAGTGTCTGCTGTCAGGCAAGTGAATGGAAGGACTCCCGGGAGTGTGGCTGCTGATCTCCTCCAGGCCGTAATGCAGACCGCCAACACCAGTGAGTTTACTTTCTTAAAGTGTCATTTGAAATGGAGCATTTTGCCTGATCTGCACCTTGTTACTCCAAAGATGTAAGAAATTTCAATATTTAGCATTCCCACCTTTGACTATAAGCTGCAACAATTTCTATCCCCATTACGGATATACATTAAACCCATCAACTTTTGAGTAAAAACTAGCAACAGAGGATACAGAAAAGATTCAGAAGGATTGCAGTTGCCGAATCCCAAGGTAACCCCTTATTTCCCATCCCAGTTGTTAATGGGCACAACATGGAAAGAGAAGAACTCGATTCCTCGACACAAGATCAGCTTCACAGTTACAGAGAAGCAGTCAGAAATGCAGAGGTATGGGGAAATTCAAAACACTCAAAATATTCTTCAAAACCTCATTCCGTGCACTTGCTATGCTCTAGTGAGTTTAAATAACTCAGCCTGTTTATATAGACTATATATATATATTTTTTTAATCCATAATTTGATTGTGTTTAATATTTTAACAGTTGGAAGTGTGTGGCCGATACCTGGATGCTGACGAAGTGGAACACATGACTGAGCCGGTGAAGTCCGAGCTAAAGAAAAGACTAGCTGCTGCCGTTAAAAGAGGAGTTGAGGCCCGTTACAGGGCCCGGGTCATGCAAGCAAAGAAACCACTTCCAGAATCCTTCAACCACATAACATGCTGAAGGACAGGTTTCATGAGGATTTTACATTTGGATGTATAAACATCTTGCAAAAACATGTTTTACCTTTAAACTTTAAGGGAGATCATTTCTTTTTTCAAGTCCAACTCTTGCTTTACTATCCTCTTGAAAATTTACAAACTCATCTGTAAAAAAAAAAAAAAGTTTCCAAATAAAATTGTCACCAATTGCAATTACACTGGTCAAATCGCATCCGTTTTGGTAAATCGGATCAAAATCTTGTGGTGGTCACCTTACCACCCCACACCACCAATATTTAGCTTTCAAAAGAACACCCCAAACATCAATTCTGTTCAATACTGATACTTTATTAA